AGTTCCTGACTCCGTGCGGAGGGAGCATCCACGGGGTCAAGTCCCATGAAGGCCTGGACGCCGGGCCTCTGCACGCCACCCTGGCTGTCATCGGCCCTGCTAGGGAGCAGCCCCTGACTCTGCAGGGAGGGCACAACTGGAGCTCTCTCCCAGGTCTCCACCGCACCCTGGGCGTCTCTGCCCTGGGCTGACTTTCAGCCGCGTCCTCTCACTGTAACACACCGTCCCTGTGTGTATAGGGGCGTCAGTAAGTCCTACAAGGCCCCCTAGCAGGTTGTCAGACCCAAGTGAGGGCCTGGAAACCCCCAAACGCAGCTGTTGGTGTCAGAGATGAGGGTGTTCTTTTGTAGACTGCTCCCTAACTTCCAAAGACTGGATAATCTTTTTCATCTTCATGGAGAACTTTGAAACCTACAAGTTGACAGGACAGTGTCATGAGTCCCCCTCTCCGCCCAGGTACCCATCACCAAGTTCCCAAAATAGCCAGGGCCCACTGGGATGCCTCCACTTCCAACGACTCCTCCCCTCCCCCATCCAGGTTACTTATTTTGGAACAAACTCCACCGGTGGCTCAGTGGTCAAGAACCGGCATGTCGTGCAGGAGACCTGGGTTCGATCCCTGGGTCAGGAAGATCCACTGGAGAAGGGAAAGGCAACCCACTTCAGTATTCTGGATAAAGTTTTTTTTTACATCTTCTGTGCCCTGATTTCTTTTTAATTCTGTGCCTGTCCTCCTCTTCCCTACTTTGCTCTCTGGATCTGTCTCTCTTCTTTCTCTCTTCTTTCTCTCTCCTTTCCTCTTCCCCTCCATCTTCTTCCCTTGATGTCCCAACACATTCATAACTTTCATCCAACCTTTCTTTCTCCCTTTTCCTCTTTTCTTCTGAATTATAGGTGGCCATAAAATGGAGTTAAATATAAATTTTATTTTTTACCAAAAAGTTTATCTGTACTGTGTTGTTGATTTTAAAATCAGATGAGCTTGGAAAGAGAAAAAGAAAAACTAAATTCAATTGTCTCTCAGTATTTTTGAGGTCTTTTCTTCCACCAGCCTCCCCAGCTTTATTGAGGTATAATTGACAAATAGACGTGTGAGATAGTGAACGTCTACACAGGGATGCTTTGATGCGCGTGCACAGTGTGAAAGGAGCCCCCCAAGTTAATTAACATATCGTCACCTTCCAAGTATGTCTTTATGTGAGATCATTTAAGTTCCACCCTCATAACTAATTTCAATTATTCAACACAGTGTTATCACTCTAGTCACCATGCTGTACTTTAGACCCTCAGAACGTATTCATTTACAGTCGGAAGTCTGAACTCTTATACCAACCTCTCCCTGTCTCCCCAAACTTTCCCTGTCCCCTGCCCCTGCAACTGATTCTCAGATTTTTCTTTTACCTTCCTTACCCTCCTAGGGGGCTTCCCAGGTGGCTCAGTGGGTAAAGAGCCCGCCTGCAATGCAGGAGGCACAGGTTCGATCCCTGGTCAGGGAGGTCCCCTGGAGGAGAACATGGCATCCCCCTCCAGTACGCTTGCCTGGAGAATCCCATGGACAGAGAGCCTGGCAGGCTGCAGTCCACGGGCTCGCAGAGTCGAGATGACTGAAGTGACTTAGCATGCACGTCCCCTCCTCGTCATTCAGTGGCGTCCAATCAAAGAAGAGAGGTCGCCTTGCACTTGCCCTAAACCAGTGGGTGGAAGGTCTCACTTGAAGGAGGGACTGGCCGGTGGAGACTGCATCAGAGTGAGCATGTGGTGTTCAGAGGTGAGCTTAGTGGTCAGACTCTTGAAAAGGCGTTGCCAGTGGGTTTGCCCTAGGTTCCCAGCTGAGTGAGGCTGGCAGGGCTGCTAGCTCTTTTGATAAATGGAACTCCGTGTGAACAGTGACGAGCAGAGACGGTCCAGTGAGCAGGGTCAAGTTCTATAGGGACAGGTCAAGGTCAGAGAAAAGCAAATTTGCCAATATTTGTCATGATAGGAAGACTACCATCTTTTGAATGTTAGGATCAGTGCTTAATAAGCCTCATCGCTTCCGTCCTTCCCCACCGCCTTCTGTGGTCAGTCATCAAAAGACAGAAATAGTCCATGAGCAGGAGAGGGTCAGAGCAGAAGTCGGGCTCAGCAGGGGACATGGACATGGTCCACCAGGCAGTGGCTGGTCCTGAAAACTCACCTTATTCCTCCTGGAAACAGCTGGGCCGCCTGCCCTTCACCCCAGGAATCAGATCTGTTCCCTGTGCGTGCGAGGCCCTGCAGCCTCCCTGCATCTCAAGGTAGAGACCTCAGTTCACCAAGAGGACCAGGGAGAAAGGAGGGTGAAGTGAGGTGTCCACTGAGTGTCCTCAACCTGGAGAGGACGTGTGGCCGGGACCGTGCATGAGCCAGGTGTCTCCGCAAGGGCATGTGGGGAAGATTGGGGCGATGGCTTGCTATTGTGCAGCCTGACATTTATTATGCAAAGACCTGCCCTGTCCCCACACCTCAGGAGGGGCCTGCCACCCCCATTTTAAGGATTTGCAGACCTGGGGCTGGAAGGGGCCTGGGTGCTCCCCTCGTAGCCCAGACGGAGGCTGAGACCTGACGTGGATGGAGGGAAGGTGGCTCAGCCTCCTGGGATCTGCACTGCCACCCCCTCCTTCCAGAAACACACCCTGGAGCAGTGTGGTCAGCGAGGCCATCTGGGACCAAGGGGGCGGTGTGAGGTGGGCCCTAGGGGTGTCTCTCAGCAGCCCCGCCCTCGACAGTGGTTTGGGGCCCTTGTTACTTTCTTGCCCACTGCGCCTGGCTCCCACTCCCGGGTGGTTTATGTTATGTGTGATAAAGAGATGACCATAAGAAGCCTGCTCTGGTTTGGTCATTCAAGCCGTCCACCAGGGAGTCCCAGGCTCTGAGCCAGGAGTGGGCATAAATCACGGCGCTGCTCTAGCAGGGGGACCAGGCCACCCCCCTTTCCAGGCTCCTCAGGCTGGACCCTACACCCCGGACCGCCTGGGGCCCAGGGAGACTCAGCGCCCCTCCCACACTGGGCCCTCATCCCCATCCCCACTTCTTGCCTGGCATCACAGGGTTGCCAGCAGACCTCCTTGCAGGATCTTCAGTCCACAGGGTGGCCAGCACCCCTCTCTGCCGTCTGGGGGCACGGGTGGGCTGGAGGATCCCAGGTGGGGGCACCAGCTTGCAGCCTCCCCTGCCCCCGCCACCTGCACAGACACCCGTGTTACATCCAGAGCGCAGACCCTCCAACACCTGGAGGGGTGAAGAGGGTACACCCTCCATCCACCCAGGAGCCAAGGGCCAGAGCAAGTGCAGAGGCTCCGCCTGGGACCCCGAGCTTGCCACACACAGCCCCACTTTCCTCCTCCATCTGGTGGGGACACTCCCCCATTTATCCCACTGAGATGCCCCCGAACTGAATCCCCACACCCTGTTCTCTCCCACTGCCGTGTCTTTGCAGAGAAAGGAACAGTATTTGCAAAACAGGGGCATGGGGACAACATGTGCTGTTTTTATTGGGTTTTTAAAATTTGACATCTAAGATGTTACACGAAGGAGGAAGGATGCAATCAGGAGATGATGTCTAATTATTTCAGGTTTTGCAGTGAGCAGTTTGACCTCATCAGTGAGTGTATGACCAATAAACAATGCGGCTCCTCTGGGCCTGTATCAGGCAGCTGCCTTGCTGTTATTTTCCAGGTGCTTTCTAAGAAATGACCATCCTGAAGCCAGAGGCCAGCGTGGGCTGGTACTGCCAAGAGGGGGGTCAGCAATCACACTGAAGCAGATGCAGAGCGGTGTCTAGGCATCTCCCCAGCCCTGGCATCGAGGCTGCCCCTGGCAACGACCACACCAGGGAAGATGACTGCAGCCTGGCCTGCAGAAGGAGCATCCCCAGGCCTCAGCGAGTCCTCACATGGCTGGATAGTCACCGACTTGTCCTGGGCAAGCCGGTAGCACCTGCCCTGCAGAACTGAGAGCCGTCCCTGGCTCAGGAGCAGTGCTAGAGTTTTCATCAGAATCCACTTAATTACTGGCAGGAGGCTGGATCCCATGTGAGCTCCAGGGGAGACAGTGCCTGCAGTGCTCCCAACACTGCCCTTGGGGCCTGGCACATAGTAGGTGCTCAACAAACCTTCACTGGATGGATGAAAAGACACCTCTTCTGCCCTTGGGGGCTCCCAGTCCCCTGGAATCTGAGTTATTTTATCACCTGGGTATTTGGATGTGTGAGTGTGCGTCTGAGGATGAGTTCTGCATGTGAGTGTGAATCGTGTGTGGGGCTTTGTGAACGTGAGTCTTGTGGGGTGTGGATTGTGCACAGGTATGAATTGTGCATGAGTTGTGAGTGTGGACCATGTGAGGGTCGCTGTGCCCTGGATGGGGTCACGGATGAACTTGGGTAAAGGGCACTGTGTGTGGAGTGTTGAATGCGAAAGAGTGACAGGTGACCCTGCATTTCCACGAGTGAACACACTGGATTCCACCATGGGGCAGGTGGTCCTGGGTGCCCCGGCTCTGCCTGGAGATGAGTTGGCCTCAGATGCCCCTGGCTTCCTGAGACAGGGGTGGAACCCAGCCCCTAGGCATACTGCAGGGCCCCAGCCCTCACCCCAACACAAGCCGTCCCGCCGTGGGGGTCAGAGGGGCGCTCTGGGCCCCAACCTCTGGCCACACGCCCCTGCCCTGGGCCAGCCCCCGCCCTAGCCCAGAGCACACCTGTCTCGGCAGCTGGGTGTGTCTGGACCCCTGGGATTTGCGCCTGCCCCCAAGGCCCGGGCCCCCTGTGCCGGGCACTGGTTGCCGTGATGACAGGCTGCGCTGCTCCTACTGTGATTCTGCAGAGTGAAGGGACACTGTCCCTGCCTGGCGGGGAGCCTGTCCCTCACCTAAATAGCACTCCTTTTCTGGACAGTGAATGTTAGGCTCTCGGTGAACACGAGGGCTATGTAAACCCGGGGACTTTTCACACAAGTGGCAGAGGTCACAGGGCTGTGGACACCATGGCCTGGACGGTGGGCTGGGGTGGAAGCCCGTGGCTGGGCTGCGGCCGCCCGGGCAGAGCCGCAGGCCAGGGACGCACGTTTTCAGTGCTAGGTGTGGACACTGGGCAAAGCCATCTCCCGGGGGGTAGCTCGGGCAGCTCCCTGCCCCCACAGGTGGGAGGGCTCAGAGAGGCTCCTGGGGGACAAGGTCACAAGCTGGGTGGCGGAAGGACCGGGAAGGGAGCTCAGTCCCAGGGCCGAGGCGAGCGCCTGAGCACCAGCGGGGACCCCTCTAAGGTGAGTGCCCACGTGCCGGGGAAGGGCGCCTGTGTCTTCCCTGGGCGTCGCTTCCTGGAGGACGTGTTTGGCGAGGCTGGGCGGCCTGGGTATGAGAGGTTCTGCTCCTGGCCTTGGACCTGCCAGGCCTGGTGTGTGCTCTGTATGTGTCTGTGTGCACTCCAGGCACATCTGCATGTGTGCACACACCTGTGTGTGTATGTATGTGTGTGAGGGTATGCGCGTGCATGTGTATATATGTATGTGAGCGCGTGTTTATGTGTGTATCTGTTCATGTATGTATATGCATGTGTGTATATGTGTGTATGTGTGTATATGTGTGTGCACTCCATGCACATCTGCATGTGTGCACACACCTGTGTGTATGTATGTATGTGTGTGAGGGTATGTGTGCATGTGTATATATGTATGTGAGCATATGTGCACGTGTTTATGTGTGTATCTGTTTGTGTATGTATATGTATGTGTGTATGTATGTGTGTGCATGTGTGTATATGTGTGTGCACTCCATGCACATCTGCATGTGTGCACACACCTGTGTGTATATGTATGTGTGCACGTGTATATGTGTGTGAGTATGTGTGCACATGTTTATGTGTGTATCTGTTAGTGTATATGCATGTGCATGTGTGTATATGTGTGTGTGCATGTGTATATGTGTGTGTGTGTATATATGAGACGTGTGTACGTACCCACCACTAACACACACTGGGGCAGCTGGCCTCATCTTTCTCAAGAAGGCCTAGAAGTGACCCCTGGGCCTGCTGCTCTTGAGGCCAAGGGAGTGTCCTGAGTGTCCACAGCCCCAGCCCTGTGCCCAGGCCTGGCTCCTGAGCTCCTCTCCAGGCCCTGGCCCGGGGCTCTCGTCCGCCGCCGTTGGCCCTGGTGGACCTCCTGCCCGGCTGCAGGCATCCTTGTCCCTCTGCCGACTCACAGCCAACCTGCAGGCTGGCGAGAGCAGCTGCAGACGCACCGTGGAACGCTGAGGTGATGGATCCCAAATCATTAGGCTTTCGTTGTATTTTTGAATGAGCATTAAAATTCGTCTCTGGGAAATGTTGAACAGCAAATGAACAAAGCCCCGGAACAGCCCTAATCCGTCTCCTTAATGCGTGCACCAGAGGGTGCTGTGCAAACGGCTCTGACCGGGAACAGTCACCATTCCCAAATACATTGAGGTTCCATTAAAAAAAAAAAAAAGGCAAAAATGCCTTACTGTAGATTTCTGCTTCCCCCTAGAAGAAAAAGCACGATACTCTTTTAAGCTGCAACAGTGAAAAAAAAAAAAAACATGTGAAATATGTGATGTGGTGTTTTTACCAACTGTCTAAATAAAGGTTTAGTGAGTCACTATGGAAAACAGAAAATCTTTCTTTATTTTAAGAGCTGCAGTTTAAGAGTTTTTTTTTTTTTAATGCAAAAGCTTCCCTTAGGTTTGTAACTTAAACATTGCCCATCTGCTAGATTCTCCCCTGGCTTGAATTTACAGCAAATCTGAGGTTTTATTTTTCAAAAGATACACTTTAAAAATGTGCCATTTTGGTCAGAGCATCCACAGGGAAAGAGAGCGGCACTCTCATCCATATGCACCCAGAATGTGAGAAGTGGGACCACCGTCCCGATCTGAAACCCAGTGGGTGGGGAGAGGGACAGGAGAAGAGGTCCCCTCCCAACCGGGGCCTGTTTCCCAAAGTCACAGAAGGAAAGTGAGGGGACCACATCTCCTGAGTGTCTGCCTGGTGACCTGGGAAGAGATGGCCATCCCCACTGGCCCAACAGTGCAGCTCTGAGTCCGGCCCTCACATATTAGCTCCTTACTTTCAAAGAATACCCTCCACCTTTTGCATCCTCCAGATTTTTGCCCCAAATGCTCCAGTTTACTGGTATCTTATGCCGATTGAAGATGCACCTCAATTTTTTTTTAATGAAGTAGAATCAATTGACATGACTTGAGACATTAAATCCAAGTACTGGAGCTTCAAAGGGGTCTTCCCTGGGGGCTCAAGTGATAGAGAATCTGCCTGCGAAGCAGGAGAGCTGGGTTCGATCTCTGGATTAGGAAGATCCCCTGGAGAAGGGAATAGCTACCCACTCCAGTATTCTTGCCTGGAGAATTCCATGGACAGAGGAGCCTGGTGGGCTACAGTCCATGAGAGTCACAGAGAGTCGGACACGACTGAGTGACTTTCACTTTCACTTTTTCACGAGCGTCTAAGGCCCAGGTAGTTATCATGACTCCACCTTGCATCTTTGTCTTGGGGTCCCGTTATTAATGCAGTCATTCACTTTCGTAAACACAACCACACAAGTGTTCCCAACCACATCTATAAAACTATTTAATGCACTTTTTGAAACCAGGCATCTTACAGCCATCATAATTGCAGTTTTACTAGACCTTTAAATGAGAAGCAGCCACTTACGAAGTTTTGATGTGGTAGCTGATCAGACAAGTAAAACACACAGCCATGATTTATGGGGCTGTGTACCACACGTGTGCCACCGTGAGCCAACTGTGGCCTGGGTGGGACATTGTACTAGGTACACAGCTTTGTGCCACATGCAGGTTACAAGCGGTAAAGAGAAAAATGCTGGATTTTACAGGAAAATCATATTCATAAATCTCCTGCGGTGAATTACAGTATAACTCACAGCTGTCTCTGTTTCTCTGCTGCAACGAATTCAGTTCTGTTTTTTAGCATAGAAGCGGTAAGCACAAACCCCAAAGTGGGAGCCCCTCCCTCTGCACACGTGTTCCAGCCCATTCACAGTGATCGCAGGGCAGCTTCACGGCGTGCAAGGCCGTCTGGGGTCTTTCATCTTCCCCACTCCAGGGTCCGGCTGCTGACGGCCCCGGGGACCTCCTCGGGTGTCCGGGGCCCTGTCCTGGGCACTTTTGTCCTCTTGACGTGGGCAGCGCCGCCTCCCAGCCCCCGAGGCGGACAGTCCCACAGAAGCCTGCTCAGCCCTGGGCTGCCTTCGTGGGACCCAACTGCTCTGCTTTCTTCATTTTGGTATCACTGGGGGTGGTTTGTCTTCAAACAGTGAGGGGACATGTTTTCATACTTTAGACATCTGTGATCTAGCTAAATGACATCAAAGCATCACACTTGCTCGGGTAGTAATGCCCCTTCCAGGGGGTCTTCTCCAGGAAGCCTGCTACTCTGGGCAGACCCTAACCCTGCCGCTTAGCCGTCTGGCCTCCTGGGTCACCCAGGCTCTCTGGGGGGAACTCTTCACCTGTCGGGGGGATGGCCATGCCCACCACGGGACCTCCAGGAGCCGACACACACAGGCTTCAAGCTCGGAAGCGGGACCTGGGTCTCTGGGGGGGTGGGTGCCCTGTGGACCTGCGAGCCTTCTGCCTCCCCTCGTCGCATACCCCTAATCCTAGATGCCCATTTCCTCCTGCACATTTCCCTGATGGGCTGGAGAGATGCCCCATGGCTCCCAAGTCCCCAGCCCCTTGGTGGCATCTGGCTGACCACGCACAGCCTGAGATGTCCTCCCCTTGGGTGTGTAGTCTTGAGGTCTGCTTATTGCAAATCCCAATACTCTGGCCCGATTCCCCTTTCTTGGGACAATACCGGGTGGTTCTCTCTTAACCGTCCAGACAATGCCCGCCGGGGGACGGAGCGCCTTGACCCAGAACTTCTCCCGCCTCCACGTAACCCTGGGGCTGCCCAGCACCTTGCAGGGGAATTTGGACAGTGACTCATGGGGAATAGATCACCGTTCCCCCTCAAGGTGGGCCTCAGACCACAGCCCTAATACTGCCCAGGACTCTTCCTGCTGGGACCCCAGGATGTCGGGGGCTTCCTCCCGGAAGCTCTCACGGTGCCTAGGGGCCTCCACGGATGGCACTCAGGGACGGCTGTGTTCCCAGACCGGGCTGGAACATGCAGAGGGAAGCCAGGTGTCCTCCGAAGGCTCGCAGCCAAGGGCCACAACGCCCCCTGAAGAGAATCAGCCCCCTGGCCACTGGCCACCCTGCTTGGGGGCTGAGAGGCCTGGTGTTGTGGGGGCCGTAGTCACAGCAGGTTCGGTCAAACCCCAGCTTGCACAGATCAAAGCTCTGACTGTGCAAAGGGAGATCAGCTAACTGAGGTCCACGTAGTGGACGGCCGTGTGTCCATCCAGGGGTGTTGCAGGCCCCAGCCGTCCACCACCCCTGATGCCCTGGACCCTGACCTCCTGCCACCAGCTTGCACTTGAGGGCGCAGCCCTGGAGGAGGGTCTTCTGTTCCCCCTTCCAGGTCCCAAGCTCAGCCCTAGCCCGACTCAGTCTCTTGTTGCCTCCAGCTTGACATATGTGCCCAGCAGGACCACCAAAAGGCTGGGGCATCCTGGGGGGCAGCTGGAAGGTGGGCTGGGAGCAGGAATTCCAGGCACGAAGTGCCGTCGCCCTCTAGGAGTCAGGCCAAGGGGGCTGGGAGCTGAGGGGCGCAGAGTCACAGGAGACCCACAGGGCCTGGGGGCCCTCGAGAAGGTGGCGAGGATGAGCCGTGGCGGTGCTGAGGGGAACATGTGCGCTGGTCAGTTTTGCGCATCCAGCAGGCTCGGTCGTGGTGCCCGGGTTTTGTCAAACAGCGGTCATCGCTGTGGAGGTTGTTTCTCAGGTGTGGTCAGCGCTGCAGTCAGGAAACACTGGTGAAGCTGATAATTATGTGTGTGTGTCGCACAGTTGTGTCCAACTCTGTGTGACCCTGTGCACTGTAGCCCGGCGGGCTCCTCTGTCCGTGGGGTTTCCCAGGCAAGAACACTGGAGTGGGTTGCCATGCTCTCCTCCAGGGAATCTTCCTGACCCAGGGACCGAACCTGGGTCTCTTGCATTGTAAGCGGATTCTCCACTGTCTGAACCACCAGGGAAGCCGGTCACTCTCCCCGATGTTATCGTAGGTTCTCATCCGGTCAGAGGGGGCTGTCAGAGCCAAGACAGGATTCCTGAAGAAGAAAGGTTCTCCTCCAGACTCAGGACCATCATGTCCACTGCCGTGGGTCTCGGTGGATTCCACTTGCCCTAATCTCTAATCAGTTAGGACGGTCTGCAGGACTGCCCCCTGGTCCCTAGGCTGCCCCCTTGCCCCGCAGA